TCACAATGCAAAATACCCGTGCTGACCAGCATGAGGGAGGCTTTCAGCAAAGACCCACTATGGAGAGGAGTGAATGCTAATATGCACCATACAGGGTTCTTATGCAGCAACACTGACATCTTTGTAAAAAGATCTCAGTTGTGTCAAAACAGAGAATAGATCCTGTTTTATTCCTGTTTTTACCACTGCCTATGCAAATACAAAGCGGAGCAGCCCACAAAGTGTGGGCAGGAAGTGTTTTTATGTGTATTTTATAAAAAGCTGGTGGCATGAAGGAATCCATATAGAGATTGACTTTAGGTATAGTATATTTTAAGCATTCAGGAGATTGGGAACAGAGTGCAGATGAGAAATGCTGACAGTAAAAACAAACCCGTACTGTCTAACAGATCCCAATTGTGTGGTTATGAATCGTACGTTACAGTTAAAGATAAAACGCCTGTTCTCCATTTTGAATTTTGTCTCTTCCTCTATTTAGAACCTGTCAAGAACACCAGCACCATTGACTAATGAGGTACACAGTAATAACTGTTACTGTTATTTATATATATACACATATATATTGTATATATGTATACATCTACATATATATACGTATATATAAATATATTTTTATATACATATTTGCATAATCCTTCCATAATAATAATTGGATTAGTCGCAAATACAATTAAATATAAATATGTATTTATTTATATAATTTTTTCTGGTCATATTTAACTGTAGTGATTTAGCTAATTTAATCATGATAAATCAGGATTAATTGCAATCATGATTAATCATGATTATTCCACATGCTGGCTTTTTGATTTTGATTCTGATGAATCACAATCAGAATCAAAATTGGAATCATTAAACAGACCTAATAAATAAAGTAAATAAATGCATTAACACACACACAAAGTATACATTTTATATGCTAACTATATAATTATTTTTATATTAGCAACATGGCCCTTAACTAAACAAAATGGCCAAAAATTCACATTGAACAGTTTGTCTGAAGAGCCACTCAAGTTTGAAAAACAATGACCATTGTTTCCAATCCAATTTTTCAATCCTCTTCAAAGGGACACCTTGGAGACAATATGGACACTTTCACTTATTGTTCTTAAAATGAACTGCCTCACGACATCTTTTAACCAGTCATCCAACTATGATCACCACGTGCGGCAGCACATCGTGTGGAGAATATCTCTTTGTCCAGAGGTTGTTTCATGCAACACAACTACATTTGAACTCTTTGCATTGAAGGAACCAAAAAAGAACCATTAAAATGTCTCTTTTATTGAAGTGCATGTTTCTACATCTCCGAGCTGTTTCAGCCGCCATCAGCTGTGAACACCACAGCCGCGAGCTGAAAAACAAAACCCTCACCAGCGTTTTAATAAGATGCAGAGAATCCAGAGGGATCTTTATTGTAAATGCCACAACTCATTAGGCTAATTACCCTATCACACATTTACTTCACCGCTAATAACAAAGCAGGGAGAAAGACAGAGTGGAGAAAGAAAGGCACACATCTTCTCGTAAACTTGCCATTCTAGCAATTAGTGAAAAGAAGCACTAAAGCCCACACACTTTCTGGGCAAAAATAATTAAAGAAGAATAGTAGACATAGTCAGTCTCCGTGTTTTCCTTCTTGTAAAGTCTACAGCCCCCACATGAGCAATGCACAGTGGCTGGCATATCAGACTTAGATTAGAGAAAAGTGCAATTTGTGCCTTTTTGGATAATTTCACTTACTGTGGCAGACAACTACTTAAGAAGTCAAATTTAAGTGTGTTTTATAACTCGACAACAAGGTGTGTTTAACCATTATCTTCCCGCTTTGACAAAAACAACTTTGTCTGAGTGCAGAGCAGCAAAGGTGGCAGTGAGGACCTCCCATCTCCTGCAGCAGGAGCATCTGCGGTTGTTGCTGAGCTACCGGCACTGACAACATTAATCACAACATTTTAATTGGCCATCACACAAATGCACAGACTCTGCTGACTCTATAGTCTCTATAGCACCACTGGGTATGGAGCAGTCAGGTTGCTGCTGTACGACTCCACACTGTGTCCCCGTGGTGCCATGTAAAGACGCCGCTGATATACAGCTGCGATTGCCTGTAAAAATAAACGACACACTCTTAAAACTATTCAAAAACGGGTTATGCAGACCGACACTTAACTTTTTTAATTTAATAGCGGCAGTTATGTACCCACACTAGCACAGCAGTAACGTCTTTAACAGCTAGTATCTGATCACAACGGTTGGTGTGTTACTGATGTAGGTCTGATGTGGATTAGTTTGATTTATTCCCACTCACTTCCTGTCTGTTGCTACTGTATGGGGCCTTCCCATTACTATATCACCTTAAAAAAAACTTTTTGGCTTCTGATTGAATCATGTGTGGTCCAATCACTGTTATTGTTCAATTCATCACCAGATCCCATGAATTAAAGTTTGGTAAAGCTGTAGCAATGTCAGCACTCAGTTAGGATGCACCATGGACCAGTAGATTAAAGAGCCAGTTATAAAGACAAACAAGTATTTACAGTCCCATTCACATGAAAAGTCAATCAAACTCAAGTCAAAATTAAACTAAACCTGCGTGTTTTGGACCATGGTGGTAAATTGGAGAACCATGGGAAAACCCATTCAACACTGATCGACCCAGTAACTGGCTGGCTGTGAGGCAAGACCACTGACCACTCTACCACCGTGTAACCCTCGAGGTACCACGTCTACATGAATTCTAACAGGAACATTTGTTAAACTCTGCTACTTTTGTTTGGAATTATTGTCACTCAGAGACATCAGGGTGAACAACTAATTAAGAAACACACCAAAAACCACAAAGTTAGAGACAATAATGAGTTCATTGCAGAGTGTTAATGTCGAGATGTACAAAATATGCTAACAGAGTTTCATCAACTTAGTAGTATAACTCATCCGGCAAAAAGACTCGTGTAGAGAGATTTAATTGAGAAAGGGAGAGAGTTGGAAGACAATAAACAGCAGCTTGCCTCATTTATGGCTGAATTAAAGTGATGCTGTTGTAATTGTTGCCTTTGGAAAAACAGCTTTATTGACACTTCAATTGTGTTACACTTCAACTGTTTGGATTTGTGAGATGAAAATCTATTGTCGTCATATAGGCTGGCTCATGGTTTCCAAACAGTCAGATTTTTTGGGGGTCGAGTTTGAGATAAATGATAGATTTTAACACTCTCTGAAGAGTGAATGAGTGTTATCAATAACAGATTACCAGCATGCACTTGTTTGTATGTGCAAATATATTGTCAAACGTGTTTATAAAGAGCTGGGCGGTGACATTTGTTAGTGTTCAATAGTATTTTGCATTCAATATTTACTTATCAAATGCTACACACGGTAAGGTATGGTGACTTAGCTGGTCACTCACTGTTAACCAGCACTAATATGAACATTTCCTGTCAAATGCCATGATGATCATGCATACAAGTTATTCATTGTTACGTTTGTATTTATAACCTATGCAGTACCTCAACTAAACCACTAAGAGGCCATGGATTCCCAATGAAAGACCTCCTCCCAATTACAAGCTGTCAAATGATGTCTACATTATAAGATATTCAAACACTGACTATGAACTGGTATTCAATGCATACAAGCTTGAGACGTCATGATTTTGCACACACACACATGCACACAAACATGCTGCTTAAGTCTCAGTCTCAGTTATGGAGCTGTCTCAACCTTAAAAGGTGTTCATACGTGTTTGTTTGTGGCGTTCCTCTGAGCTTTCTTCTCTCCCCTCCTCTATATAACAGATTGGGAGAGAAGAAAAAAACTGAGAAGATGGAAAAAAAGTGTATTAAAAACTAGTGCAGCTGGATGAGGTACTAATTCACTGATCTGAACCAATCATCCAGTCTGACTCCAGCCACCACACCGAGCTGTTTCAAACATGGCTGCTCACATCAAAGAAAGCCTTGTATCTCTCGAGGAGCTGCTATGGTCTTAACAGATTCTGGCCTCAGGCTTGAGTGCGGGGACTCGCACCTCCTCTGACAGCAGCATCGCATACCCGCAGGTGAGACTGGAGGAGGCAGGCACAGACAACCCGGCAGAGTCTGCAGTGTCATCGCTCCTTAGCGTTGCTGCAGCAGACGCTACAGAGAGGCTGGTGCTTCATTTGGCTTCACAAATCTAGGTGGTTGTTGGTGTGCTGCCTACACCAGGACATCACCCAGCAGGATTGAAAATGCCTGTATTTTGAATAATTTACTTCATAAATAGATAATATAAGCTCATTATAAGGGTGCATCAATATTCTAGTTCTAAGCTGAGGAATGGGAGAGTTTTTTTGTTTTGTTTTGAAATTCATCCACCAGGTTTTTTCTCTCATTTTCAACACCTTAGGCGGTGATGCCTGGCAGGAATGATATGTGGTTAATAAATACGGAAAACTTGGGAAAATACCATTGTGATGACTCTACTTACTAATATACAAACCTATGTACTATAATAGATTTTGGTCAGAGCCTAGTACACACTAACTGAAGAAGATGGACTTATTATTTTAATACAACAGATTCAGGGATGTTTTATTTTAATCATGCACAGATTCAAAAGTATCAACAGGACCTTGTGGAACCCCTAAAGGTCATGCTGAAGTTGTTGAAGTTCTCTGGCTTGAATTCTAATGATCTGAAGGCTAGTGACAAAATCATGTTCTAGAATTTTTCCCATTCCATTTAGTTGAAAAAAAAAATGTTGCTGCATGTTGTAGGTACAGTTGCTACCTTTCTATTCCAAATCCAGTGCATTTATGAGAATCTCTAAAGAAAAGTCATTTGAAGAGTCAAAACAAAGTCATTTAGCTGTAGAGTTGCATGGCTGTTACACAATATCATAAATCTCGGGACAATGTGTGAAACTGAACCTTTTTATTTATATACAATGGCTAAACCTTACTTGATGGGTTAACTAAAAGGTATGGTTATTATGATTTGAAGATTGATTCTTACCTGTGAAAATGACTGTTGGCGTGAAAGAGAAATAAATTGTTTACAATTAAGGTCTGAAGATTCTAATGAAACAACCCTCCTCACCTCATAAATGTCAGTATGAATTGTGAGTGTGTTTATCATGCTATTAAACTGAAGTATTTGTTTCCAACATGGATAATTGTTTCTTTTTCCTTCTAATGAAGACGTAGCAGGCGCTACCTCTGCTGTCATGTTAAGTGCTTGTTTTCAAGTGCATTTATTAACTGTAAAGACGAGATGGAGTCTCTCCTTCTCATCAATAGTGAAAAGCAAAGGCTGAAGGTGCTCTCTGCTTTATGAATGGCACTATGTTAGAATTGAAGAATGCACCCTTCAAGTACAATTTTCAAAAGCTTTTATGTCATGGCTGATTTAGGTGAATGCATAAAAACCAGCACCGCTGCTTGTGGCCTTCAGTGGCAAGTGGAACATTAAGTTAATTTACAATTTCTTAATGTCAGCAGGAGGCTAAGGGAGAAAGTAAAGGGAAATCCAAGGGCGTACTGCAGAAGCTGACTTTACAAATACAGGATAATTCATTTCCTGGAAATGAAAATATTGAGATATAGTGTTTACCTTGAGATGATTATGATGTTTTTAATTTTAATTCAAGATATTTGTTGTATATATGTTGCTTATTCAGGAACAACTTGTTGATTTTGAATTACCACATGATGTTCCATGGAAACCTACCTGTAAACAGCTCTTTTGTCAGACTCAAGTTGGGCTTGAGGGTCAAGTGTTGCACTGACGGAGGTATTTCCTGCTGCAGTGGCTGCTGGGATGTGGACCTGTGGGGTCTTGGTGGTCTGCTGACTGGTGCCTGTCATCTGAAAAAAAAAAAAACAGTTAGTGAACCATCCACAGTTAGGACATTAGTGCCTAAGACATATTTTCAGATTAAATTTATATATTTCAACTTATCAGCAGTTCATTGTGCAGCCTCTGCAGTATAGGTATAGTTCAAATGATGCATACAGTATATAGATATATCAGGTTTATCTTCTCCTAGCGTTGTGCTACTAATACACAATCACAAAATACCTGTTTTGTTGTTTTTGTCAGAAAAAAATTTAACCTGACTGGATCCAAATATTCCCCTCGCATGTAATTTTCCTCACGCAATCACATGACGACACCATTATTCCATGGGGACGAGCAAGCAGCTGCTTGTGAGGTCTAAGTAATTTTTTAATCACTTTTCAAAAGCCGTGCGATGAAATATGCAGCTGATGCTGACAGACTACAAATGAGGCTGACGCTGGGATGAAGAATGGTCGTTTGACAGGTATCTGACCTTGTATTGAAGCCGTTAGGCAGGATACATGGGATAGGGCAGATTATTACAGTAATTGAACAAGGTGCACTCAGGACACATACTGTTCTCTATGTATATGTATATACTGTATATATGCATGTATATACACTGTATAAAGTCAACCATTCACTTATCAAAGCTCTAATACACAGTCAATAAACATTATTATTATTATTATTATTTTTATTTACTAACACTGTGGGAGCATTAAATAGCATCCAATCCAGTGGAGGCTTCAACTTGGGGTCGGACACATCAGACCAGTATCACTGAACCGAGGTCACTAATTAAGCCCACAAATACTAATACTAATACTATTACTACTACTACTACTACTACTACTATTAATAATAATAATAATACATGTACATTTGTGGTAGGATTTGAATTGAAATGTTTCCCTTATTTTCCATTTTTTATATATAGTAAAAATATTGTAACATGTATTCATGTATATGTATTTAGACAAACTTTCTTCCCCTTTCGTTTATTATGTTGTGTGTGGAAAAGAAAAGAAACAAAAAGTTACATACTTAACAATATGACCCATTGTCTTCATTATTCTTTACCCCACTTTCCTGTATCTCATCCGTTCTTAGTAAGGAAATGAGTCTAACAACCCCCAGTATTTTTTCCAGGGTAGGGTGGAAGGAAGCTTCAAGTCTTAATCCCAGCCCCAAATGGAAAATAAATTAGCTTCTTCACACTTAACTAGCTCTCATTTGCATTTGCCGAGTACGCAGACTGCAGCTCAGGAGTCCTCCCCTGGCACTAATCCTCTGGGCGAAAGCAGACCGAGTGGTATGGACGAGGAGGAAGAGGAGGTGAAGAAGGAGGAGGAAGGTGAGGAGATCAGGATAACCTGCCTTGCTCACCTTGAGGGGTGTTTAGGATTGTTGGACAGAGTGTGTTTTCAGTCAAGCTGGGCTATGCTAATTACTCTGAACTCTTAATGGTATAACATGCTGAATACAGTAGTCGGGGAATTGACCCCTGCATGATCTTTGCTCCTGTAATTGTTTTACATGCAAATTGTGTCTGTGGTGCTCAATGGATAAAATCATCTGAATCATCAAAGCTCATAATTGATGTCAAATACAAAGGCATCACAGTAACATATTTTAATTCACCAAACACTGGTAAAATATTACTGATAACTAATTACACTTTCTTAATATCAAACACTTAGAATTACACTTCGGATCAGCGTTATCTTTTTGGGGGGTTTATTAAATGCACAAAACCATCAAATATTTATCACCCAATCATTCAACACATAAACACATTTATTCATTTATTATACACGGTCAGTGAGTCAGCTCTGAGGAAAGTTATGGAAATGTTCAGAGGTAAAGTCTCAGAACACTGACAGCCGGAACAAGTCAAACTTTTTTTAAATAGCGTATGAAATGACTTCTTTACTATTATCACCATTATCTGACATATTACGTTTTTTAAATGCCAAGGACACAGGATTATAATTTTGATTGGATTTAACGATACTTACAAAAGTATTTAAGTGATTTGTTACCACCACAATTGTATGCTCTTAGCAATCACCTACCATCACAGAAATAGTTTTATCTTGTAAGATTTTTAGATAACCATATGAAAAATTAATAACAACAATAATAATAATAATAATATTTTATGCCCATGACAGTCTTAGTCCACACAGTCTAAACTATGATCACTAACCTGTTGGCTCTCCTGGTACGATGGTGGATGAACACTCTGGGTGGCCATCATTGTCACTGCAGGTGTTGGGGACACATGTTGCATCATGGGATTGCTTCACATTGAGACTAAAGAGGAAAACGTACAGAAAACAAATGGATAAATAAGTAATTGGAATTAATAATTACAAACACTTAAATAACAATAATGTCTCTGTCCTCCAACATGTGCTGTGAAGAGCTGTAGCCAGAAGAACGTATAAGTACTGTAGTACTCATGCATCCACATGGCAAAGTCTCAGCCCTAGTCATGGAGCATTTTACAAAGACACTTTACATACCAGCAGGTTCATAATGACACCGCCAACAAACCAGACTCCTTGTTTACCAATTACAGACAGCTACGCTTGTTCACTAATTACTGCTGGCTTTAAAGCGACGCATGACGGCAGAATCACCTCAGTCTCCATCTCTGCTGCTGTTGTTGTCGCGCTGCTAGTAAGCCAATCAAGAGCGCTAATTAAGGCTCTTGTTGGCAAGCTAATTGCCATTGGCCGGAACCCCACAGGGCTGAGGGCTGTACCCTGTGGAATGCCAATGTTACCATTGTCCCCACCCGCACTGAATGAGGTAATTGTGTTCACACACACACATACACATACACACACGACCCCTACCATTACCAGAACTTACTAAAGGCAAGCACAGCGGGCGCTCCATCCTGAAGCTACATATAACCTATGTGTGGGCACTGCGTGAAAATGTCTTGTAAATTAATCATTTGACCTGAGGGTTAGTGGGTGGTGAATACAGGGTATTATTATAACTGACAAATTGTATCTGTTTATTTCCATATTTCCATACAGCTATGGAAGCTAAGTGTCTATTTGACATTAAACTAAAACTATTATTTTGGTAAATTATGGATTGTGTGAAGAATAAATTGAAGTTTTACTGCTACATGATGATTTTTCTTTTGGTCCTTTTCCTTCACATGTGAAAGAAAACACATGAGTAAGAGTAATGATTTGCAGCAAAAAGCAGAGGTGGACACAGTTGAGACAAAGCATTGATTTTCAACAATCATCATTTACATATTGTGTAAACCTCCTCTGTTTAAGAAGGCATGACAATTTCACAACATTGTTAGTTTTCGTCAAATACCAATAACTAATAATAACTAAGCGATTTGACTTTTTAAAAATAAGCAGACCATGACGTTTTGAGCTCTCGTCCTTTGACAATGTATTTATTTGTATCAAAGTAACAAAGTCATTCATTGCATTTCCACATTTAACAGTACTTAACCAACCACCAAGTGACTTCCTGTACACACATCACTCTAATATGATCACAAGCAGGAAAAAACACAAATGCTATTCTATTCACATACATGCCTCTAACCCATATACAACTAACACCATTCAACATATGTGTGGTTTGGATGAATGTAATAATATATATAATCACTTCAAAGCACACTTCATATCCATAGGACATTTCGATCCATTGTTACCAAATTAATTGGCTAGTTATTAATGACTAGTGTTGGATAAGCCTGAAGGTAACTGAACTCTACGAAAGACAAAAGAGGAAACATCTAAGAGCTACAGCCCTGGACGATTTGTTTTCCCTCTACAGTCCTTATGGCAACTGGCAGCAACAGAAGTGCGACTGCCCCGTCTCTTCCTGCTGCTAGCAACCCCTAGGGAGGCCAGAGGCTTAACTACTCCTGCCGTGGACCTGGAAACCAGACACACGGCTTCTGCATGAAGCTGCACACACCTTGGCCTTTAAGTTTGATGTCTGCTAAGGGAATTGTGGGGAAGGGAAATAGTCAATCAGCCAAAACAGACCTAAAAGCAATGACTACACACATTCTTTAAAACATGTCCAAAGACATTTTACAAAAGTGGTTTTCTCTGTGATATTTAATCTTGCTCTTTAAATACAGGGGTGTGTTTTAATCTACGCCCCCTGCTTGTATTTTCTCTTTATGCTGGGAACATTTGAAACTCTGCTGTAGAGGGCAGTATTGCAACATAATAGATACCATGTTGTTAAAACCACAGTAGAATAATGAAGGTGATTGGTAGAAGAGTCACTGTGGTAAGTAATTAATCACAATAATCAAGAATATTTTTTGTTTTGCATGATAACTGTAGTAGTCTTGGAAGCTAAATTAGTCAGTTCCATAGTGTAGCGGTTAGCACGCCCAAAACAGAGGAACCACATGGTTGGCGCTTGCAAAGGGTAGCCTGTTAACAGCATATCTGCTGCTAACACAACAATACCCCAAATATGGGATCAATAAATCAATATCAATATTTTTTTTAAACGTTAACACAATCATTTAATGTTCACTATTGGAAGTTGGACAACAATAAAGAACATGTGCTATGTTACCAGCTCCTCAGAGTATTTTAACTTGTAAACATGCAATAATGTAACACTAGTTGAAATGCTAAAATTGCTTAAAAGCAAAATAAAACAGCATTAACGTGGATAGGCCTTCCCAAAAACCCCGCTGAAAAAAAAAAAAAAAAAAAACTCACTGAGTACTATTCAAGTTCAGCTTCAGTCAGACAGGAAGTGATGCTTAGAGTCCAGAGGATACATGGCAAATGTTTCCAGACAGTGAGCTCATCCTGCGCTCAGATGGAAACCTCAGCAAATGTCAAACCCAGGTCAAATAACTACAGCCTGACTCAAAAGGGAACAACTTCTGACCCTGACCCCTCTACTGCTAACCATTCCAATGTGAAGGACTTGCTTTAGTTTCATTGATGGGCACAAGTCCAGTATGTGTGTGTACGTGTGTGTACGTGTGTGTGTGTGTCATAATAACCCACTGAGGGTGAGCCTGCTTTGCATCTATTGAGGGCAGAAACAGGCGAGTGTTTTTGTTGTGAGTGTTTACATTTGTTCGCCTTCCATGTGCATGTCTCTGTGAGTAAGAGTGTGTACTGATTGCATCGCCTGGTTTCTGTTCTCATTCCAATTGGTATCAGCTGAAAGGCATCTTCTCTGTTATCAGTCCTCATTTTAATTGCAAATGCAGCAAGCGTGTTAGTGATTAAATGGAAAATTGCACATTAATTGATGAGAGTAGAGATAAAGCCATTCCAATTACGGCGCAGTATTTTAGGCGGCCTCTCAAGTTTCCCTATCCCTCGAAGGAATGAACCACAGAACGCCAAATTTGAGCAGGCAATCATGCATTCATAAATAAACACACAAAGACGCCCAAAAAGCACGAACACGTGCCATACAGGAACCGTTGAAGCATGTACTGTATGTACAATCAAGATCACGGCAACGACACCGGCAAACCAGACTCAGATTTTAACAGTCAAGTTAGGGAAGAGACAAAAAACTTCCCAACTGAACAAAGGAAAAGTACTTCTCCCTCTAAACTCACCGAAGGTACACAGTTACACAATGACTTGTAAAAATCCTTTTGAGGACAAATCACATGTTTGTTCCTCAACAAAGGCCCTTTGAATTATTACACTGTTTATAATATATTTCACATGAAAAATGCCTGAAGTCATGATCAAAATTCAAAGCAAGGATACAATGGGAAATGAGAGGTAGGCATAAAATTATTCCAGCAAACATCAAAGGCTTTCATGAATTTGGATTAGAGGCATTCCCACTTTGTTTCCACCGGATTCCATCCAGTAAGAAATGCTCTTTTATTCAGTATTCAATTTTCCAGCAATTCTCCTGCACAGAGAAAGTCTCCATGTGCAGTGAAGTTAAGTCGGTCAACATCAAGGCTGAAGTTTTCTTCCATTTACCTGCAGCGATGAAATGAAAATCCATATCTGCTCCACGTGATCTGATCACTGCCCCTGGCCTCAAGGTTTAAACCTTGGCTGCTCTGGACCAAAGGTAAAATGCACAGCGTCGAACGTCTCATAAATTTGAACAAGTCAAGCTTCAAGTCAAGGTGATGGGAAACAAGAGTGAATTACAGATTCTATTTGTGACTTTAACTGATGAAAGACTTGTCATTTTACACGGGTGTTTTCAGGCTGGATCCTGACCCGACTGCATTTTGGCACCAGATAAATAGAGGAAGACTGGTGTTGTATAAAAGTTTATCCCTCGTGGGAACGACAACACTTTACTGACTGTGAAATCAGAGTAACAAAGAAGAAGAGAGGTGTCAGAGCTGACATCGTCACACATAGGTCTCAGCAGAGACATCCTGGGTAAACTGAAAATGAGTAGACTGATGAGTTTTGGCACACTTCTCAGATTTTACTACTATGATGTACCAAGTGCAATACTTTATGTGTGTAGTATATTCTAAAGTAATAGGGACTCATTAGAGGAGTAAACCTGAAAATCTGTGACAAATTTAGGTTTTTAGGTTATCTCTGAGCCTAAATGTAACTGAGTTGTGAGACACAAATAGGCATGTACTAGATGAGAGATCAGTGGTATCAAACTCCTGGCCCGTGGCTCACATAAGACCCCAAATCGGGCCTGCAATGAGATGCCTATAATGATGTAGTTTTGCTCTTGAGGTTTTAAAGACAAAAGTTTAGTTTGTTTGATAATCAGTAATAATTATTAAATATATAACTAGTTCATTAATAATGTGCAAAAGAAGATTAAAGATAAAAAAAAAAATCAGATGGCCCGAATTAAATTTTTTCTCAAAGTAACCAAGATTTCAATAAGATTTACATTTAGTAAAAAATGGATGTGTGCTTTAATTTTTAAACTGTTCTTTACTGAGAGTTGAAAAACATGATCCAATCAAATGTAACACTTGACAAAAAAAATAATCTTCAAACCTGTCAAAGCTGTTTGTCTCAACATGTTTCATCACATGCGCTAAAATTATGACATCTGTCTTAGAATCTTTTGAATTACCATATTGTGGTTATATTGCTCTGCCCCAGGCTGATGGCAAAGTGGCAGATGGAATATTTCAAACACTGACGCATTAAAACAGGTTGTCATGTCTACTTACAAACATTTAAGTCTTTTGTCTCTTATTTGCATAATATTGACAATTGTTGTTCATATATTATATATCACTATGTATTTACAATCACATTTAATATGAACAGGTATATAATTATTTTTTAATTTTATTTTTTAGTTATAAT